GGCAGGTGCTGGAACCATTGAAGCCAATGAGCGGGATTTTTACGGGTTCCAGATCCCCCTGAGAGAGTCCCATCTTGCGGAAGAGGTGATCGTACATTACCTCGAAAGAATTGCTCGAGTCTACTAAGATCCTCTTAACGTCGAACTTCCCAACCCGCAAAGTGATCACCAATGCATCCTCGTAGGGGAGGACTACCCCGTCGAGATCAACATAGAAAAACTGGATAACCTTGGCACCGCTCCACGACTTCTTGGGCGGCCGCTCATCACCCCTTTCGTCCACCCTGATTGCTTGAGAGACCCTTTGTAACTCGGCGTGCAGGGAGTTGTATGTAGGCCTCTCCATTGTGCAAGCATGAATAACATCAATCACGGGTGCTACCTCAGTTGGCACCTCAACTCGCTCCCTCGCCGACCCGCCGAGACGACCACTGTCGATGAATTTCCCGAGGTGTCCGTCTCGCACCAATTGCTCGAGGAAGGATTTATAAACCTTACAATCCTCCGTCAAATGGTCGATATCTTTATGATACGAACAACGGAAGGCCGCATTCCTTGTCAACGGGTCTCCAAACATCCTCAGGGGCCACTTGAAGTAAGGTTTGTTTTTGATTTTGGGAAGTATCTTGTGAATGGGCTCGTTGAAGACCGTGTTCACTACCTGGAAGGATAANTGATTGCCCTTTAAATGATGAACCCTTCTAAGTTGACTAGCACAATACCTATCCCTGTCCCCCTTGCGTTCGAGGATCCATCAACATGAAGATCTCAAACGTCCCCTGTTTGATCCTGTGACGTTGGTGGGGGCTCGGACGCAAAGAATTGGGCGACAAAGTCCGCCAGGACTTGTCCTTTTATTGACGTTCGAGGCTTGTACTTGATTTCAAACTCTCCGAGCTCTATAGCCCATTTGGCAACCCTCCCGGACATATCAGCTCGGTGAAGGATCGACTTGAGAGGTCGATCTGTAAGGACGTCTATGGCGTGAGCCTAGATGTAGTGTCGAAATTTTCTCGCTGAGATTACCAATGCCAAGATCGATTTCTTCATTGGAGAGTACCTTGTCTCGGCATCAAGCAAGATCTTGCTTATGAAATACACGGGTCTTTGGGCCCATTCGCTATCCCTGACCAATGCTTCACTCACTGCGTCTCGAGATACGGACAAGTAAAGGCTAAACACATCCCCTACCGCTGGAACAGATAAAGTCGGAAGATGTTTTAAGTATTCCTTGATCCCTTCAAGAGCTCGACCGCATTCGTCCTCCCAAACCCCCTTAGCTGCCCCCCTCAACTTTGCAAAAAACGGTTTGCACTTATCGGACGACTTGGAAATAAATCTGTTAAGGGTTGCCAACATCCCAGCTAATTTCTGAACATCCTTAATGGTCCTAGGCGCCCGGACATTCTGAATTGCTTGTATTTGCTCAGGATTAGCCTCGATTCCCCGATGAGTAACCAAATACCCCAAAAACTTTCCTGAGCTCATTCCAAAGATGCATTTTGAGGGGTTTAGTTTTAGGCCATACTTCCGGAGGATGTCGAATGTCGTCCCGAGATCATAGAGATGGTCGGCCCCCTCTTTGCTTTTGACCAACATGTCATCAATGTACACCTCCATCGTTTCGCCGAGCTGGTCTTTGAAAATTTTGTTCATCAAACATTGGTAAGTCGTCCCAGCATTCTTCAACCCAAAAGCCATCATCGTGTAATAGTAGATTCTCCGGGGCGTGATGAATGTTGTTTTCTCCTGATCTGATTCATGCAGGGGAATTTGGTGATATCCAGCCCGAGCATCCATAAAAGTGATGCGCCTGTGGCCAGTTGTGGCGTCTACCAACTGATCAACCTTGGGTAAGGGGTACTCGTCCTTGGGGCAAGCCTTGTTCAGGTCCGTGAAATCCACGCAAACTCGTCATTTTCCTTCTTTCTTCTTGGCGCACTCGGTATTGGATAGCCACTGGCAGAACTGTACCTCCTTGATGGAACCTGCCTCCAACAACTTATCCACCTCTTCATCTATAGCCTTCGCGTGATGAGGCGCCGTTCTCTTGGCCTTTTGCCTAACTGGTTTGAATGAGGGATTCACATAGAGCCGATGAGTCATCACCTCGGCACTTATCCCAGTCATCTCGGCCTGGGTCCACGCAAAGACATTGGCATTTGTGGCGTAAAAATGAGACTATATCATTTCTCTTTGCGTCGCTGAGTGACTCTCCTATCAAAAAAGTACTTTTCACCGCTATTTGGGCTTAGGAGAATCTTCACCAAGGCCTCAGTAGACCGGTCGGCCGGCTCTGTAATGGGCTCGTCCACTCCTAGACGACCGCTTTGTGATTGCTATTTGGTAACCACCGCATCGGGATCACGCTCCTGACTTCGGCCGCTGACTCCCTTTTTCACCGCAGCATAGAAACAGTTTTTCGTCGACGCCTGATCACCCAGAANTCTTAGTCAACGATTTGTACAAATCAGTGTCCCGGGACAACCCCAGCCTAAATGACGCTATGGCCAATGCCTCCGAACATGCCTCCACTTCGTTCACTTCATTCCAATACCGGACGGCATATTATCGGAGTGTCTCTCTCCCTTTTCGCCTAAGCGTCAACAGAGCGCCGATGTCATTCGATTTCTTACTGCTGGTGATGAATTGAGCTATGAAGAGCTCCGTCAATTGTTTCCAGGACCTAACGCTCTCAGGAGCAAGGTTCTCATACCACCTCATGCCCGTGTCCCTTAGGCTCATGGGAAAAAAATCGACACAACACCCTTTGGCCAGTATCATAGATTGACATCAATTGTCGGTATTGCCGAAGGCGGCTCTCGGGATGGATTTTCCTATCATAGACTTTGAACCGTGGGACGGTAAACTTCTTTGGCATCTCGGTCTCCTTGATAGCCCGGACGAACGGTGAGATAACTTCGTCGGAGTAGACCTCGGGCTCATGGTTGCGCTGAGCAATGAAGGGGACCTTGGGATCCTTTTTTGATCTTTCTCCTTAAGGCCTTTGGGTTATGGACTCCGCTTGTGATTCGGCAGCTTCGACATCCTCGGGTATCCCTCGGCGCAGGTCCCACTTAGACAGGCTTGCCTTCTAGCCCGATTCAGACTTCCCCTTGGAGGCTGAGAACCCTCCTTGGCGGTTACGTCCCTCGGACGAGTGCCTAATCCAACCTTTCCTAGAGGGCCAATGCCAGGGGGTCTGGACAGGTTCTGGCAAGGCACCTGGTCCCCGAACCCGCGACTATGCTCACCTGCACTGGCTGACTGCTTTAAATCGTCAAGATGTTGCTAGACTTTGGCGTTTTCCCTTTCAATCTGCTTAATGCATTTGTCCATCCACTTTTCCACCATCTCAACGATGGCATGGGCCATGAGGTCACGCCCCCAAGGCCCTGATCCATAGGGAGCATTCTTTGCGAAGAATGCCCCATCTCATCTAATTGGCCCAATGAACCCGGCTCTAGAACCATTGGAAGTCGGACGGGCTCTGCGTTCCTGGCCCGTACACCTGCTCCCTCACCCTGAGATCGAGTGTTCACCATCAGACGATCGCTAACGAAAAAAATGTCTTCGTTCCCACAGACGGTACCAAATTGCACGGGATAATTCCTGCAATAGTATGAGACAGCGACCTCCAAGCTGGCGAACCTGAAACAACAAGATCAGAAAAAAAAAGGGGCTAGACGAGCGCCTGACTAATTCCCTTCANGATCAGAAAAAAATGGGGCCAGACAAGCGCCTGACTAATTCCCTTCGAAGCTTAAGTCAGTATAAGGTCGAAGAGTTTTGCTCAATGGACTATTTTTCTAATTCAAGTTTGCGTACCTTTGTCCATTTTTCTGAGGAGTATTTATACCTGAATTAGCAATGATTGCCAAAGATCTTCAGTTCCATCTAGACATCTTACATCTGACACACCATTCCTCGTGCAATGAGTGTTTTCTACTCACGTCTCCTATTGAATGCTAGAAAAATGGGGTAAATGCTCGGCCAAATACTGAGCATTTATGCCACTCCCCGAGTACCCAAATCCCCCAAATCGACATCTGACATCAACTGAACATTGAATATTCAGGGGAGAACAGTTTCTCAGGAGAGCCGATCGCATCGTCTCGGCGCATCAGCCATTAATGTTTAGCCATTATGATAGTAGGCTTAGACTCAGGCGCTGACACACGCGCATTTATTNTGAAGGTAAAGTCTCTCTCCTGATTAAATAACAAAATAGAGTTGCAAATAAAGCGACAATTAGGATCAGTGTAGATAAAAACTAGTTCACATATTCAATCATTTATCAACTAGTATTACACCATGTGTGTTACACGTGAATAATTTTTTAAAAAAAATTAAATAAATATTTGGTATAAANTCGGCACCCTTTGGATATCCCAACGGCTTCATTATTGCACGTGTCAATCCGGGGGCTGTAGAGCCACCTAGAGTCCTGCCAACTCATTTTCTCTCAATAGTAAAAAAAAAAAAAAAAGAGACTGCATCACGCCTTACTGACGTAGGCAAAACAAATTTGCTTAACTACGTAAATTTTGGTGTTGCGAATTACGCTTTAATTTTTATTTCGCTTATTTAGTTTTATTTGTCGTTATACTAATCAAATTGTTGCGAGGTTAATTCCCACCAAAACACATAGGCACACAAAGTAAGAANCTTATTTTTTCATCTCTAATGCTCCATTGTAGAATTTTTGAAAACTTTGTATATTTTCAAGAATTTTTTTTCTCACTTTAAGAAAATTAATAAAAATGAAATAATTAATGTTCTATTTTGTTTCTATAATTTTGTAATTGAAAGTGCTTTTTTAGTGATGTTTGAAAATTAAATTTTTTTTAAAATTAATTTAATTAAGATTCCACTTATAATTCATTGAATAAAATAAAAATAATTATTAATGGTACCCAAAAATGCTCAACCCCAAGTCCAAAACAAAGTTTAATAAGATAGGGAGGGGGTAGTATAAATCTCTAAGTTAACAGAGAAAAATGGATGGTGAAGTTGTATCAAAGATAAAATGTAAGTGGTTCACCCTAGTCGACAGACTCGGGCTACATCCATTGTAATAGAACTCATTAGTCCGTAATAAAAGCCTTAAAGCTCACTNTCAATTTGCTGTTCCACCAAGGCATGGCATGTACAACCAAGATCATAACGAAGGCGATGATTTCAGAGTATGGAGGAATTTTTGATTCGATTGTATCTTTGGTTGATGTTGGGGGTGGGACTGGAGTTGCGGTGGCTGAGATTGTGAAGGTGTATACACATATCCAAGGAAAAAACTTTGATTTGCCTCATGTAGTTGCTACTGCACCAGTGTACAACGGAGTAACCCATGTTGGGGGTGATATGTTCAAGGCCATTCCTCAGGCTGATGCGATCCTGATGAAGGTAAAGTCTCTCTCCTGATTAAATAACAAAATAGAGTTGCAAATAAAGCGACAATTAGGATCAGTGTAGATAAAAACTAGTTCACATATTCAATCATTTATCAACTAGTATTACACCATGTGTGTTACACGTGAATAATTTTTTAAAAAAAATTAAATAAATATTTGGTATAAATGTATTTGAATTAAATATCATCTCAAATTTACTAAACTTATTTTTTCATCTCTAATGCTCCATTGTAGAATTTTTGAAAACTTTGTATATTTTCAAGAATTTTTTTTCTCACTTTAAGAAAATTAATAAAAATGAAATAATTAATGTTCTATTTTGTTTCTATAATTTTGTAATTGAAAGTGCTTTTTTAGTGATGTTTGAAAATTAAATTTTTTTTAAAATTAATTTAATTAAGATTCCACTTATAATTCATTGAATAAAATAAAAATAATTATTAATGGTACCCAAAAATGCTCAACCCCAAGTCCAAAACAAAGTTTAATAAGATAGGGAGGGGGTAGTATAAATCTCTAAGTTAACAGAGAAAAATGGATGGTGAAGTTGTATCAAAGATAAAATGTAAGTGGTTCACCCTAGTCGACAGACTCGGGCTACATCCATTGTAATAGAACTCATTAGTCCGTAATAAAAGCCTTAAAGCTCACTATGAACTCGTTAGTTCATAAAAAGAGCCCTAGAGCTCACGATGAACTCGTTAGTTCATAAAAAGAGCCCTGGAGCTCACGACGAACTCATTAGTCTGTAAAAAGAGCCCTGGAGCTCACGACGAACTCGTTAGTTCATAAAAAGAACCTTAGAGCTCATAATGAACTCGTTAGTCCATAAAAAGAGCCCTGGAGCTCACAACGAACTTGTTAATTCATAAAAAGAGCTCTGGAGCTCACGTTGAACTTATTAGTCCATAAAAATAGCTCAGGACGAGTTCTTCTGTCCCTAAAGCAAATGCAGCAGCTCAGAATGCGCTTCTCAGTCCAAAAGAACTTAAAGCAAGACCTGCAGCACGTAGACTAGAAGGAAAGCTTCATAGCTTCTATCCATTACAAAAAGGAAAAATGGGGGTCTTTGGTCCACAAGCTAGGAAACGACATGGAAGATCAGCTGCCAGATTCTCAAAGCCACAAACTGTGTATAAGAAGCGGCAAACATGGAAAGGGAAAATCAAGGTTTCAAGAACATCAAAGATTACAAAAAAACCAATCAAAGCAAAATTCCTAGTCATCTATACAGCTCGGGTATCCTCTCTTTCAAATGCAGGTTCTCCTCCTTCAGCTCATCCCTCTCATTTTCTGTCGCTGACAGTAGATCCATCAATTTTTGCCCAGTAGAGGAAAACAGGACTTCCCTAGGAAAGATCTGGATGAAGGAAAGGATGAATCATCCCTCTTGCGTTTCTTGATATGAGTCCCAGCATCCTCGCTCTCATCAGACCCGGTAGAAGAGAGATCAGATTCAGGAAAAAAGAAAAAGTCTCATTCAGCTGCAGTGGCGCTAAACAAGAACAGATTATCTGGCGTCATGAGATCAGGAAAAGACATGGGCTCAGCTTGGGTCATTTGTTCCACCCTTATCAATTCAAGCAGGTTCAAGTCAGGAGCACCTACGTGCAAAAAAAAAAATTCCCATGCAAACTTCGAAGTCGCTGATTGGGAAACCATTACTGTTACATCCTAAGTTCAGCCCTTTCCCAAGCCAGCTCGGCCAAGAGCTGGGGGGCAACTGATGATACTCAGAATGATTCCCGAGCAAGAGCTCGAAAACGGAGGTCAAACATAGAGGTCAAGTATGCTGAGCTCAGAAAGTCAGAGCTTTGCAGAGCTCAGAAAACCAAAACTAGAGCTCCCCTCAAGCGAGATAATAAGCTGAAGTAATGAGAAAGTAACTGGATACTACAAAGAACTCGACAGGCGGTTTGAAGTAACACTCAAGGCACAAAATCCTCAACCAACCAAGATGCTCTCCTAAGATCAAGAAAAATTCCTCGGATAGATGGCAAAGATCACGAATCAGATCTCATAGATTAAAGGTCACCCCTATAAATACTATGTAACGCCCCAACAGAAAAGAAAGACCATAGTATCACATCGTACATTTTGTAACCCTTTTGATATAGTAAATAGTGAAGGAATGAGCAAGAATCTTCATTGAATAGTGGATGAACCGAGCTCTTGAGCCGGTGAACCACTATATTTCTACTGTGTTAATTTCCCCAACTTCCCAACAATTCTTAGTATCACTCCCTCAAGCCTATTAGCTCAAATTCCAATAATTTCAAAATTATTTTTTTAATTTATTCGTCGTCACAAAATTACCTCACATTAAAATCCACCGTCAAGTTTCATTCATTTCCTTGAGCAAATATCCTTTTTGGAAAAAAGATTGGACAGCAGATATGACTTCAGCTTTGACAATACTCCAGTAAAATTGTGCAATTGACATGCCCTTGTGGTTAAAAGCAGCCCGTGATCATTTACAATCTGAAATCTGTCTTATCAGTCCTAACGAATCCAATCTCCTTTTACTTTGAAAATTAAGGCTAGATTTATTGGTGTGCATGAAAAATAAACAAAACAGCAAGTAATTATCATAATTACAGAAGAAATGAGCCCCCAAAAATAGCATTTCGTTCTCAAGCAAAAGCTGAAAGCATTGCCATACAACATTGAAAAAAGTTCACAGTAAAAGAGCTCCATGGGATTCTCTCTCTCTCTCTCTCTCTCTCTCTCTGTGTGTGTGTTTTGGCCTCTTAAACATGTCCCATCTCTCTGCTGAAAAAAATTTACAAAACCCAAAGGAAACTTTGGCATCAAAGAGTCTCAAGGATGCAATGGGCCAGAAAACAGCTCAATACTGAAGATCACCTGCCTCTAACCAAACAACACAAAACCAAAGACCAAAAAAGAGGGATTCTAGCAGTAATCCATTAGGTGAAGTTCAAGAGCATTTTTAAGTTTTTCAGGGGGAGGGTTGGGGGGGAGTAGGAGGGGTGGTGTTAGCCACGCCGAATCCCCGTGAAGTAGTTGAAGTCATGGTGTTGAATCCTCAACTGCTTTAGCCACGAATCTGCCACGCTCAAAAGTGACACCAGCCTCTGCTGGTCCAGGTCCGGACCACTCTTGTCCGAGACCCACACAGTTCCTTGCATCTTATAAGTGGCCAAACCAAATGGAGGTAGAGAGATGTCTTCCCCTTCTTTTCTCCCTCTTTCAGGGCTCTCCATCTCAGTTTCAAGGTCCATATCTGTGCATTCATACATTGGCAAAGCAAATTCAATCATCAAATAGTGTATATGTACATTGATTCTAAAGGAAGGAGAATAGAAACGAAGATGAAAGAGAACCGAAGACAGATGAACCAAGAGAATACCTTGAAAAGATGATGAAAGAGTGTGGAATGTGAGGAAGCATGTGGACAAACCCTTTACAATTCTTCCCATGGGGATGTAATAAATTGGATACCTGTGGACAAGTAAAATCAACAAATTAGCTAAGTTGGCTTTTGTGGAAGTATTATTGTCTGCAAGTATTATGAAACGGCATTAGAAGTGTAGAACACAATTTATTTATAGGATCTTTCAAAATAAGAAATTTAATAGCATGTCTTTCAAATAAATCTGGAAAGAGAGAAAGAAGGACCAATAAACTGCCATCCAACTAGCTGGTGAAAGATCTACACTTCTGAGTGACATTAATCCGGGGTATCTTCGAGATAATACACTGATCTGAGAGCAGAGAAAATGTTCGTGTTAGCTTAACTTAGACGGTCACTATCATCCATAAAAAAATAAAAACTTGAACTCCATGTTTCACATGGATCAGGTTTTTCTTTTTACACGCTACAACGGTTAAGAAACGACAACAAATCAAAACGTTTCTCATTAATACATAGGGGAGATAGAGAGCATCCAACAAAGATGCTATACAACTAACAACAATTGCAGAAAAGACACAGAAAAGAAGTGTGTTGATCCATATTCAATTTATAGGATTCCCATGTTTGAACTTTATTATTTGATGTTAAAAATTAAAGAGCAAAACAGAAATAGGGAAGACAAATCAAATGCTAATGAAAACAAAGAACCAAAGAAAGCTGCAAAGTAAGTTTAGAATTGTTCACCAAAGCAACATGGACTGGTAAGTGATACCTTCTCCACCAGGGGAACTCTTCCATAAGGAGTTGATCTCTCAAAGTACTCACAGTAAAGGTGACCCAACCGGTCATTCGGCTGTAGGAGGCCATCTGGCTCAAATACTACTTCCTCGGAGGAACTTCCATCCCATCTCGAGAGCTTTTCACTCTCGCTTTCATAGCTAAACGAATCGCTAAAAGAGTCCCTTGTCTCGGACCCTGATTCAGTTTCCTCCCTATAAACATTACATTCATCCAATTTCATCATCACTTTTTTTCTCATACATCAACTTAAAATGAAGACTTCAATAGAATGCCATGATCAATTTCAATGATAAGTGTTAAAATAACCAGCAATTAAGAACTGGGTAAGGTCTTAAACTAAACTAGAAAACTATTTGTAGTCTCAATTCTAAGGATAACTGATATCTAAAGAACATTCATACCAATCAAGAGCAACAAGTCGCCACATTCATCAAACTTTAAGTACCTCATACTCTTTTATTCGAGCATTGCAATGATAGATCTTATGAAACATGGAATCAATCAAAGGAACACTTACTAGATAACAAAGCATAAATGAAAGTTTACAACTACAATTTTTGATATGTTTGACTCCAAAACTAGTACCAAGTGTAAACTACATCGAATTGCAAATGTGAATAAGGAAAGGGATACCTTAAACCATTCAAGGATGAATTGCTTGTATAGATTTGTATTGCAGAAAGATAAGGCACATAGTACTGAAACAGGGTTTCGCCGCCGTCCAAATTGATCGGTACTCCGACCCCATAAGCACTCCATTCATCAAGACTACGCCAAAGATCAGCCAATGCGAAGTACTCAACTTTCTCTCTCTCGCAAGGATGCCATAGCTTATTAAGGTTTCTAATCTCACTCTGTACAAAAGCCAAAAATCATGAAGAAAAAAAATGTACACAATCATCATAATTACAGCAACATACCAATTTTGTACATGGGTTTTGATTGAACAGAAACGAACCTTGGGTAGAAATTGAGATGGGACCACCGGTGTTGTGCAATCCAGAAAGGACTCCAGGTTTGATTGCATTGACCCTTTGTTTGATTGCCTTGATCCTTTGCCCAAAATCATGGTTTCAGAGAGACTACGAGGGAGAAAACCCACTCAGAGAGAGAGAGAGATTTCACTAGTTCTCTCTCCTAACCCTGTAAACAGACAAAGCCCAGTGGAGAGATGAAAAGCAGAGAGGCAGAGGCAGAGAAAGGAAGAGAAAAATTAACGGGATTTTATGTGTGTGTGTGAGAGAGAGAGAGAGCCGTCTCTAAGAATTCTAATCTTTTGACGCTTAGACTTAGACAGAATTTATGGAAATGAGACTTCAATCTTTATCCAAAACGGTCAATAAAAAATTTGCAGACAAAGAAATGCGTCCTTTTTCCACTCCACTCGCAAACTCTCTCTCTCTCTCTCTCTCTCTGTCTGCTGCTGGAATTTCTCGTCAAACACTAAAAACGCAAAAACTGTTGACAAATTAATAGTGATCGGATGGTTGTTGAGAGCTATCGATATATTATAGGTGACATTAATTTCTTAAAAAGTTTTTTTGTGAACATAGCATTGTTGAAAAATGAGACTACAACTCAAAGTCAATCCAAAACCCAACAAGACTTTTTAACACTGTTGAAGATCAAATATTTTCCTTGGAAAATTGAAACTCCTGCCAGGTTTCGCTCAATCTATGAGAGAGAAAACAAAGGAAAAAGCAAGAAAATGAAAGAAAATTCACGCAGAGGATGATGTGAAGAGACCCAGGGAAATAAAAACTTGTATTCCACGATGAATCAGCTTTCTTTATAAAGCAAAACAAACAAAGAAACTGTTCTTACATAAATCTTAAATCTCACAGTCACCCCCCTCCCCTTCTTTCTTTTACATACATATATTCGATGAGTGTATGGCTTAATGTCTGGACATGCAAATCACGTGTCCATTGAAGAAACATAAACGTTGCACTATCCCTACATGCATCATCATGTCTCATGTCGTATTATTAATCGATAATAAATAAATAAAATAAACAAATCTTCTTGATTCCAAGATAATTATTAAATGACAATCGCAGATGCAGTAGTCTCTATTGCTATTGAACCGCCAGTGTTCACTTTTTCTTTTTGGAGGGTTCAAATAAGACTAACATTCAATCATAGATGTCTTTATAAAATTTAGTTAAATAAAGGATTAATAATATTTTTGGTCACTAAAGTAAGTGTGTTTTGTCAGTTTGGTCTTCATTATATTAATTTGATTAATTTAATCNTAAATTGTTATCTCTTTAGATTTTGAAAATTATTGTCTTTATTTTTATTAAATATTTATCTCTTTAGATTTTGAAATTCTAATGGAAAGTCATTAATTGAAATTCTAATTTTCAATTAATATAAATATTTCAATTTTAAATATTTTAGTAAATATGATATTGTAGAATGAAATTTTAAGAATAGATTTTAAAAAAAATAAAAAATAAAAGAGTTGAGAGGGCTTGGAGAAGCATTTAGCAATTGAATCATCTTTAGAGAGGACCACACCTTTATCTTGTGGACAACAATGACGTTGGTACACTTGTTAACATTTTTTATTAGTTGAGCAAAGTTCTCTTTTATGTGGTCCTAATATTATGTGAAACTAATTTATTGATATAAATTTTTAATTTAATTATTATAATCATTGAATTAGTAGCGGGTTCTAACAAATATTCGAACCCACTGTCAGTGCAATAGTTGTAAGTTGAATTTACAGGAATGAGTTGTTTCTAGATATCCTGAGTTCGAATTTTAGCACCCTTTAATATTAAGTAATAAGGGATTTATCCTTTTTAAACAATATTCTAGTTCAGGTGTGGATGATCTGTCTCAAATCGGATTGGAGAGAAGATTAATAGAAGTGTATGTAAGTTGGTACAGACACCCCTAACGGCAAGAGTTTGGACAACCTGCTCAATCAGCATCCGAATAGGCTAGAATATGATCACAATTACTTTTATATAATTGAAGATCAAAATGCATTGTGTCTTTAAGATAACGCAAAATGCGTTTGACCGCTATGAAATGGGACTCGTGGGGATCATGCATATGCTGGCAAACTTGATGAATAGCAAAAGCAATGTCTGGGTGACTGAAAGTCAAATATTGCAGAGCACCAACCAGACTACGATAAAAAATTGGCATGGAATAGTTAGGGTTAGTAGAGGAAAGAGCATAGGATTTCCTGGCTAGGGGAGTGTTGGCTGGTTTAGCTTTTAGGATATCACTCTTGGTTAACAAGATCAAAAGCATATTTGGATTGGTGGAGAAAATACCCATCAGAATTGGAAGTCACTGTAACACCAAGAAAGTGATGTATAGGACCCAGATCAGTCATAGAAAATTCAAATTTGAGCGATTTAATAATATTATGTAGCACAGACTCAGAAGAGGCGGTTAACAAAATATCATCAACATATAAGAGCAAAATAACCATATCAGTGGGTGTAGTGTAGATGAACATGGACGATTCAGAACAACTACAACGAAAAGCAGTTTAAATTAAAAAACTTGTAAAATCAATGAAACCAAGCATGAGGTGCTTGTTTCAACCCATATAAGGCTTTATTCAACTGACATACATGCTGAGGAAAGTCCGGATGAACAAAACCTTGAGGTTGCTTCATATAAACAACTTCAGATAGAGAACCATGCAAAAAGGCATTCTTGACATCAAGTTGATGAACAAGCCAATTTCAAGACAAAGCAAAAGAAAGAACAATCCGAATGGTAGTGGTTTAACGACGAGGCTATATGTTTCATCATAATCAATGCCAAATTGCTGATTAAATCCCCAAGCAACTAAGCGAGCCTTATAGCATTCTAAGGGGCCATCAGATTTTTGTTTAAACTTATAGACCCATTTGGAGCCAATAAGATTGGTAGAGGGTGGCAAGGGAACCAAAGGCCAAGTGTTGTTTCGAAATAAGGTTTGGTACTCATCAAGCATAGCTTGAAGCCATTGAGAAAACATGTCAGCATCAGTGAAAGACCGGGGGTTCGGAGAGAAGAGATAGAGAAGATGATGTAGTAAACAAAGACTGCAAAACACAGGGACAATGAGTGTCGTCTTGAGTTTGTGTGACCATCGGATGGGTAGAAAGGGATGAAGCTATGCTCAAAGGTGGAGGAGCTGAGTATGTATCGGGGTTGGATAGAGCAGATGGTTGACCGTGGAAATCATTTAAGATAAGGGAAAGAGGTTGAGAAGAGTCCAAAGAATGAGAAAAGGGTGGAGATGAATTATCCGAAGTCGGTGTAGATTGGGAAGCCTGGGTAGATGAAGATAAGGAAGGAGATTTAGATAAACCGAAAGTGGGTAAGCTTGGAGTATGAGACAAAGGAAAAGATTGAGATGAATGTGAGGATAACCGAAAGTGGGTAGACTGAGATAAGAAAGGAGTCGAAACAGATTGTGATAAGTGTGGTGGTGAAATAAAATCTGCGGGCTTGCAAAATGACAAGGATAAGGAATGTGAAACCAGCTAATCGCCTAAAGAGAATGCAAAGGACAGAATGTGGAGAAAGCTTATTTTGAGTGGTGGAAGTAATAATTGGATAACAAGCACATCCAAATATTCTAATAGAAGTGTAACAAGGGGGTTTTCCATAAAGGAGTGCAAACGCTGAAGAATTCCAAAGAGTAAGATTAGGAAGAATATTCAAAATGTAAACAACCATATGAAGAGCTTCAACCCAAAAATTAAAAGGAATAGAGGATTGAAATAAAAGAGTGTGCACCATATTAAGAATGGTGCAATGCATACGCTCAGCAGACCCATTTTGTTGATGAGTGTGGGGACAAGTCAAACGTAAACGAATGCCATAAGAATGAAGAAAGGACATAAAAAGAATTGTTCACATATTCACGCCCATTGTCATTTTGGAAACTTTGAATGGAAGCATTAAATTGGGTGTGAATAAAAGCATAAAAGGATTTAAATTTAGCAAAAGCTTCAAATTTGCATCATAGTGGAAAAACCCAACAATAACGAGAATAATCATCCATGAACAATAAATAATAACGATAACCAGTAAAAAAGAACTGAGGAAGTCCAAAGATCCGAATAAATTAAAGCAAAGGGGCATTTGAAACGAACATGACATTCACAAAATGGCAATCGTACATGTTTGCCAAATTGACAAGCTTGACAAATACTTGAAACAATTTGTTTACAAGATGAAGACAACATGCCATTATTCAAAAGAAAAGACAAAACACGAGGGCCATGATGACCCAAACGCCGATGCCAAGTCTGAGGAGACACCTTAGAAGTGGTGAACACAGACACCATGGAACCACCACCAGTTGAAGAAAGAGGCTAAAGTGGACCCGAACTATTACACCTGAGAAGTACCTTCTTCGTCTGGAGGTCCTTGACAGAAAAACCAAAATGGTCAAAGTAAATATTGCAATTATCTTTAGAAGTAAATTGCTTGACAGAAAGTAGATTCTTTTGGATTTGGGGAGCAAGTAACACATTACCAAGGGAAAAAGAAGAATTGGCTGATTGAATAATGGATTGGCCAGTATGACTGATAGGTAAAAGTTAACCATTACCAACTTGAACATGATCCATACCAGTATAAGGAGATAGAGAAGTCAAATTACCTGCGAGTGGGGTCATATGAGAGGAAGCACCCGTATCATGATACCTATTTGGATCAAATGAATCATGCATAGAAGGAGTGGGAAAGGAAAGAGAGTTGGTGTCACCAGCAAAGGTTTTGGAATGTTGAGGGCATTCGCGAACCGAGTGATAAAATTCAAAACAAAGTTGGCATTGAATGGGGGAAGAAGGTTTTGGTGGATATGAAGGTGGTGGAGGATATGAAGGTGGTGGGAGACATAAAGGATGATAGCCTAAAATGGAAGAACCACGACCATTATAGTGTGGGCGATTATTAAATGCAGGTGGGCAAGAAAAACACTGATCATTATAGTGATGCTGGCGAGAGGAGCCAAACCTACCACGACCTCGCGAAGAAGAATGATCAGTACGATGATCATGACAAGAATAGTGGCCACTATAACCACGGCCCTGGCCAATTGTTGGTGACAGTTGCAATTTGTTGAAGCCGAATTTCATGAACAAAGAAAAAGGAACGGGCCTCAGCAAAAGAAGGAAAGGGAATCCGGGTAGAGATGGCAATAACTGCACTTTCATAGTCAAAAGGAAGATCGGCAAGGCTTGTATAACCAAATAAGTATTAGAAATAGGATTACCAACAGAGGCAAGAGAGCCAACGATGGATTTAAGTTGTTGG